CGGTGCCTGGGGCTGGCGGCGCTTGGGGCGGCGAGCTTGCCGTCTCCTGCTTGTGGATCGCTTCCTTTTTGGCTTAATTAGTGGCAACTCTCTCTGTTAGCTTTGCGAGTGAGGAGGAGGAGGAGGCCCTGCCAGGAGAGATGCAATCCCTCCTCTCATTGTCCTTTTCTTTTTAATATGGCCGAGCGTTGTCAAACGGGGAGGACGCAGGCTGCGGCTCTCGGGGAGCCGAGTTGCACCGCGTGGTGCAGACGTCTGCGGGGCGCTCGGCGAGGGCTGGCTCCTCGGGACCATGACGACTGCCGGGGGGGGGGTGTGATGGTGTTTGGTGGGGTGGCAATCAGAGGTGTTCTGCAGGCAGGATTTTAATCAAGGAGAATTTATGAAGCCAGATGTTATGTTGGTAAATCAGTGTATGTCACTGAAATCCATGGACCCACTTTGGTTGTCCGTAGGCACTGCAGGCAACACGTATCCAGTGTCTGAGCAATTGTTTGGCTCAGCATACCCAAAAAGGAGAAGCTATGTATTTAGGTAAATAGCATGTTACCTATGAAACATTATTTACCAAAAGTATATATGGTTGCGGGGGGGGAGGGGAAGGAGGAGAAGTGTTGGTAAAGTGGTCCTGATATGCAAAAATAGTTTGGAATCCCAGGAGAACAGAAAACTACAATAAATTGGAAAAAACCCCACTATTGAAAATTAAAAAATGAGACTGTAGGCCCTAAGTCATAGTTAGAAAAAACCCGTCAAAGCCAAGAGCAGAAACGGGTAAAGCTTATAATGAAAACACAAAAAAGAGATGGGGATTGAATCCCTGAAATTGGCACATAGAGGAATTACATAGAAGGAACAAATTTTAAGTAAGTGTGTGTTTGTATAAAACACATGCAGCAGTGCCCTTAATACACACATACGTATATATATGTGCATATTGGGTGTATTTGTGTGCCTGTGTGTGCTACTGAGTAATTTAGTAATGAAGTGGTACGTAAAATCATACATAGGCAAATGTTAAGTGATGCAGATAAGGAAAATGGACTTTCCAACTTAGATGCACGAGGCCGGGCTCTGCACGAGGTGTGGATGGGCGTTAAACCGTCGGGTCTGAGCGTGCCAGCCCAGCACTTGCTGGCAGTCAAAAAGGAAATCAAAAGTTAGGAATTGCTGGGAGCAGAGCAGAAGACATTGTTAATCCCCTGCAAATCCACGGATCCATGGCATGCCCGCGTCTCAAACCCTGTTGTTTTTCTTTCGGCTGCTTCCCTCCCAGCACGGCCGCTGTGCTTGGTGGCATCAAGTGAGGGAGCGTCTCTGTGTTGCGACGCTTCATTCTTAACGAGACGCGCGGGGCTGGGCTGGGGTCGGGCGGCAGCAGCGGTTTGCGGTGCAGGGGCGAAGGGCCGCGAG